TCGTATTTGATCCAAATTATTAAATAACAATTTTTTTTTGTAGTTTTAACAGTAATTTTTATTCTCATTGATTTTACACTGAAAATGATTACAAATTCAATTCTTACAAACATCTTATACTGCCGCTTTTCAGAACGGTGCCAGCGTATATGTATATATCGCGAGTAACTACTACATACACACATACATATGTGTATATATGCCGAGCTGACGTCGCCCTGCAAGAAGCAACTGGTATCAAATTTTTAGTTTATTAAGAGTAAATAGTTCGGTTTAGAGATGGGCACGGGACTAAATATTTAATCCCGATACCGCTCATCCTGTAATTCAATTTCTAAGTCCCGAACCTGGCCATCCCGACGTTTTACAGGATTGTACCGCCGATCACGAGATCTATCATTAAGAAAAATGCACATGTCTTTCAAATGAATTTTAAAAAATAAAAAATATAATGAAAGATCTAGCATCTTCCGATTATTTTGTTTTGCTGTTCCTTTTCGTTTCAATAAAACATAAAAACGGCATATTTCATACATACATCGATTTTGAGGAAGATTTTCTAAGTTTGCGGTTTTATCGGGAGTGTCAGAATGGAATTTTGTCCCGCCACGCCGGCAAAATTTTTATAGACCTTCTCGATACCGCCCATCCCGACCAATTTGAAATGAGTACCGTGGGTCCCGCGGGTCCCGATATTCCGCGCCTTCTCTAATTCGGATGTAACTGCAAGCAGTCCTTTCAAAACAGTATCGCACTGGGATTAAGTAATGCACCGGAGGAGTATTCCAAATAAATCTTATTCGCAACAGTCCGAATTGACTGAAAATTGTTCACTGGTTTCGAAACAGTCCTAGGTTATGCCATGTTAAATTGGTCAGTTATTTGCATGGAATAGCATCAGTACCCGTCACCCAAATCTAGACTCGTGACTATTTCTAAGCTGGTATAATTTCTTGCAGGGAAGCGCATGTGGAATATGTATACATATATATGTATGTACATATATGAATGGACATAAGTAAATGAACATTAAACTAATAAAAAACAAACAAAGAAAAACTAAACACCTGCAACGAGTCTTCGTTAATAAGGCGGATATTAATTCAAGAAATTTGTAGAAAAATTATAGAATATTGGTTAGTAGTAGTTTAAAGACAAATATATAGTTGTTTTTATACGCTACACTTAAAGCCCACAGTTCCAACCTAAAGTGGGATCATTTAATTGGGTCTGAATTTTCAGTATTAAACTGTATATGCGGAGCGATGGGCCTAATTTAATGGGCAGTTTTTTAATAACATCACTACGCTTAAGTAATAGCAATGAAGTGCCATCAATTTCATGTTCCTTAAAAATGTGGGCTTCTTTTGGGAAATACTTCGCAAAATATGAAGCAACTTGATCAACATTCCAGTCTTTTACATCCGGTACATCAATCGGTTCGTAGGGGCTGTAACGTATAGCCGGAGTAATATTAACGGTCTCATCATGGTTTGGCTTTGGCCTTTTGGAAGCTGTGACGTCAGCAACTTTTTCCTCGCTACTACTACTGGCAGTGTTTCCACTAATTGTACTACTGCTGCTTGTTGTACTACTACCACCGCTTTCCAAGTAGGTAGCATCCGTTTCCGGCCCTCCATTGTCTTGTTTCTGTCCGTTCTCGCC